CTACTAAGATTTAGCTACAAGTAAGGTGTCTCAAGGAAATACAACTGCTTTCGATACAAATGACACAGTAAAGGAAATGCATAAAAGGGGATGCGAGGGCCTGCAAATGCCAATAGGACTACCTTGGGTCTCCAAACAGATCAAGCCAGCAGCTAGACTCAGGGTCAACTCGGTCCGGTACCAAAATTTGCACAGAAAGTGCAGAGTGCAGTATCAGTACAACCGACCCCATGTATTGGTATGTGTCGAGTTTAACCTCAGCGAAGTAGTGACAAGGCTAAGACAAGACACATTCATAAACATGTGTAGTTAAACAATATACGAGCAAAATAACAACTAATAGAAGCTGAACAGATAATAACGGGAGGGGAAACATGCTTAGGAGAGTACAAGATAAAGAAAATTGTAATAGTAAAGAAACCACAGCAGACAATATGTTTTGCACCAATGAAAGTATTAAACACAGTAAAGACAATTGCACGGCATCACCCTTCGTGTTTTTACTCTCGACCTCACCATAATAATTAAAAGAAACGGCACGGCATCACCCTTCGTGCATTAACTCTCATCCTCACCATATAAACAAAAGAAACGGCACGACATCACCCTTCATGCATTAACACTCACATATCATGGCACGACATCACCCTTCGTGCTTTAACATTATCCCTCACCAAAACAATGAGCAATAACAACACAGAGATAGAAATATTAAGAACTGGTCTTACTTCAACATTTAGTTCCACAATACCAACCTCAACTTTGAGTCAATACTCAATCAGTACTAAATTTCGTAAAACATGATAAGAGTTTCTCAACATAACGAATAGCTAGTCTAAGCATGAACAATATGATCAAAGAATACAACAGTTACAAGAATAAGACTCACTCGCATGTTATGACTCGACAACAACACATAGGTGCTCGTCACCCCACCTATACGTTGTACTCAACATCCAAACACGTAGCAAATAGGCAAATAATACATAATCCCTCAAGTCAAGGTTAACCGCGACACTTACCTCGCTCTAATGGCGAAACTCACAGCTCAATCACAGCTTTTTCCTTCGCACAAGCCTCTGGACCAGTAGAATCTAACAATTTACCAACCAAATGATTCAAATGAAGCCTTAGGATCTACCCACGATTGCAAAGAATTTAATTTAGGCCATTTTTGAAAAAGTCAAAACCTGGGCTCGCTTGGTCCAAACCCGAAATTCGGACCAAAACCCGATTACCCATTCACTCCTGAGCTCGGATATATAATTGGTTTTGGAATCCGGCCTCAATTTGAGGTCTAAATCCCCAAATTTTGAAATTCCTAGTTTCTACCTAGAAATCCCCAATTTCACCATAAAAACCTTAGATTTTTGGTTGAATCTTATGAAAAAGTAGTGAAAGGTTGAAAGAAATTAGTTTCAGATCACTTACCTAATATTTGGGGAAGAAAAGTTCTTTGAAAAATCGTCTCTTGTTGTTTAGGTTTTGAAAATTTGGGAAATGAATCAACAATCCCGTCTAAGTCATCTTTTGTTCAGCTGCAGGTATCGCATTTGCAAACAAAACTTCGCATTTGTGAATGAACAGTGTTTTCGCAATTGTTAATAAATGGTTCGCAATTGCGAATGAACAGCATTTTCACAATTGCCATAAAAGGTTTGCAATTGCGAATGAACAGTGTCGCACCAGAAATCAGCAAAATCTAAACTTCTCCGAAATGATCTGAAACAACCCCGAAACTCATCCGGAACCTCCCGGACACATACCGTATATGAATTTCAATCATAAAAACGGTACGGACCTGCTCGCGCACTCAAAACACATAAAAGAGGTCGTCTTAACCCGATATTGACCATGGTCAAACTCACAAGTTTCTTAACTTTACTAGTCTCTCAACCAAAGATCCAAACATACACCCAAGCCCCTCGGGTCTCCAAACCAAACAAACACACAAGTCTTAAAACATCATACAAACTTGCTCGTGTGATCAAATCACCAAAAAATACTTAAGCACCTAATCAAATGAAATTCTCAAGAACACTTTGAAATTCCATTTTCACAACCGGACGTCCGAATCACGTCAAACCAACTCCGTTTATCACCAAATTTCACAAATAAGTCAAAAATATTATATTGGACCTGTACCGGGCTCCGAGACCAAATTATGGACCCGATACCAATGAGATCAAACATCAATATCTTCTTAAAAACAAATAAATTTTCAAACTTTCAATTTTCAACAAAAATTCATAACTCGGGCTAGGGACCTCCGAATACAATTCCGAGCATACGCCCAGGTCCCATATTTCGATGCGGACCCATCGGGACTATTAAAACGCGAGTTTGTTTACCAAAAATATTGACCGAAGTCAACTCAAATGAGGTTTTTATGCAAAATTCCTTATTTTTATCAACTTTCAACATAAAAGCTTTACGGAAACACGTCCGAACTGAGCACGCAAATTGAGGAGGAATAAAATAAGATTTTTAAGATCTTGGAACACAGAATTCGATTTTAATTCATAAGATGACCTATCGGGTCATCACAAATTACTTATTGCTAATACAATTATATTTAGCTCACTAAGAAGTTGTCAATTAATAGCACTCCGTGAGATTATGTGATTAATTGAGTAAAAACTAGTGACGATTAAACCGAAATATTTTTCTTGCTTGAATTGTGTTAAGAGGTAGTAAAAACTTCGTGAGAATACTTTTACTAAAAAGTTAATAATCTTGCCCACGATAATTCCTCCGTGAGAATTAAAACTGAGGCAAACAAGATTATGAACTTGAAATAATAGTTTACTAAAAATTACTCTCACTCTATTATTGTATTCATTGGTTATTATATATCAATTTTGCTTCGTGAGAATTACAAAATTAATATAAGAATAACTTAGAGATAAAATATGTAGAAATGATAGTAATGATTAATTAAAACTATTATTACAGCACAGTACAAAGTATAAACAGAAAGTTTCAAGCCAGGGATGTATTAAAACTGATTATATATATATATATATATATATAAGCTTCATCAACTATCCCAACAAAAAAAGTTACTCCATTACAAAGTAATAAAAACTAATTTAGAAACAAAGAACTTATAAAGAAATATTATTCTTCTAAAAGAAACACAACTAGTAGAAAATACTAAAGAAAAGAGAGAGACCAAAGAGTAGTTTCTCTCAACAAGACTCTTCCCCTCACAATACAATATAAGTGACTATTTATAGAAAATGTGTAGCAAAGGTGAGATGATGTTGCAACTTTAAGTCTTGATGTTGTGACATCAAAAGTTGATGTTGTAACTTCACAACTTGATGTTGTGACTTCAAAATTTGATATTGTGACTTCAAAGTTACATTCACTCTTGTTTACCACGTGCATTGCTCTTTTTCCTCGTTGTTTTGCTTGTAGTCCTATTTCCTCAATTCATCTTTCCTCCGCAAAACTTGTTAGAAAATATAGGAGAATCAAATATATTTATTCATATTTTATTTAAAAATCCTTATTTATACGTATGAAATACATGAATAATTTATATTGATCATTCCCCTTTCCCCTTCTTTCGCCACCTCTCCTCTATCTCTTTTCTCGTTCTCCCATTTTTCCTTTCTTGTTATTCATCCTTCCCATTTTCACAAACTTTAAACTAATATTTGAGAAAAATATATTAAAACCCCTTTTTTGAAGAACAATCACCATTAGTTTTTCTGAGATGAATTAGATCTATGGCTACTACAGTGTTGAATCTGTTTTGGGTAAGGATCATTTTAGGACTATAATTTTCAGGTTGTTGAGTCGATATTTAATGGTGGATTTATTCAATGGAGAGATTCTGATTTTTTTTTTCCAGTTTATGGTGAGATTCTTGAGATGCGTTTTGGAGGGTGTGGTTGGCGGAGGTCTTTGCGAAATTAGGTGGGATATACAACGTAAAATTGTGTGGACATATGAGTATATTGAGCATTTTCACTGGTGGTGCCTTGGCATCAATGGAGGAAGGAGTTCAAGGTTGGTTCATATGGTGGATTGAAGTAGTGAGTGGCGGCATTGGACAAAAATCTTTGTAAGGGAGATGTGGACGATAGGAAATTGGAGAATGATGATTGTTTGGTTATCCATGGTGGTATTGTTGCTGGTAAAGCTAGAAAGTCAGAGTGTTGTTTCTTGCTTTCTGCTGTGAAAAATGGAGAGAGATGGTAAGGGTGGGGGAGGAGTCCGAGTGAAAAAGAAAAAGAATTTTTTCTTGAAATTAAAGTGAAAAAATAATGATGTGTCATAAAAAATTTGATGTGGAGGACGACGTGTCATCCGCATTGTGCATTTGAAGAACACGCGAGGTAGGGAGAGTTTAAAGTAGTGTGTTTTAATAACTATGAGTGTTTGGATAAACTCTTGTGGAGTATAGGGAGCGGGATGACAAAGCGGGACAAGTAGAGATATTTATTAGGCTATTATGCCAACTATAAAGGATTGTATCAAACGTTAGTTAATTTACTTGTTGAATTGGATCAATATCGCACACTAATCTAATTGAATCAAATATGTCTTGTTTAATAACACGTAGATAAAATCAGAAAAGGCCAATTATTTAAGGATCAATTTTACTAGGAAAAAAAGGAAAATTAACAACGGAATCTCTCACCTAAACAAGTGCAAAGAAGTACTCTGGGGCTACGCAGAATTTTTTGTAAGCCGAGTCGTATTTATATAAATAAATAAGTGTTATCTAATACCATTTTCTCATAGTTGAAAGCTTTGGCTCAATGGCTTAATTGAATATTATTGCAAAGGAAAGTAAAATAACAATAACCACAATAACAAAACCAGTAAAATCCTACAAGTGGGGTCTGAGGAAGATAATGTGTAAGCAGACCTTACCTCTACCTTATAAAGGTGGAGAGATTGTTTCCGGTAGACCATCGACTCAAGAACAGAGAAAGGAAGCAATAATAAATAAGTAGCAACAACAAGGTAAAAGGCAGCGGACGGAAGCAAATGGCAAAACATGTAATAACCAAGATCAAGGAATACAAGAATACAATACTATTGCCAACTACTGGTAATAGTAACGCACCGTGTAGTAACAAGGAACTAGGAATAGGAAAATACAAGACTAGTGCTAATACTATTAGTAGGACAAGGAGAAATTCTCGACTACTTGTCAACCCACAACCTTAATTCTAGACCTCCACACTTTTCTATCGAGGGTCATGTCCTCGGTAAACTGAAGTAGTGTCACATCCTACTTAATCACCTCTCCCCAGTACTTCTTAGGCCTCCCTCTACCCCTCCTCTGACCCGCCACGGTCAACCTCTCACACCTTCTGATCGGCCTCTTTAGATGACCGAACCATCTCAGCCTCGATTCCCGCAACTTGTTTTCCATGGGAGCTACTGCCACCTTGTCTCTAATGACTTCATTCCTGATATTGTCTTTTCTGGTATGCCTACACATCCATCTTAACATCCTCATTTCTATTATTACAAACAGAAGTGTAAGTTCAATTCTCTTTAGCCTCAATTTTTTTAACAAAAATTGTTCACTCAAAAATATTCAAAAAATAGAATATCAAGGTCCATCCATGAACCTACGGCCTTTACAAGCCCAAATATGAGCTTGACCAATGAACCAAGAAGTACTCTTTGCTAGGAATAATCGGTGCCATTATTATATATTGCTTTATTTTTATATAATATTAGTATAAATATTTTATATTTTTTCTGCGAAGCGCCGTCGGATGCATGACACTGCTTCCACCCTTGTGCATGCACCCCTAGCAGTACAGTTGATATCTCATTCACTACTATACTTATGCTCTTGCGTTGAACCAAGCATAGGAGGTATACTCTGTTCATGTCGAAAAACATTTAGTGGATCAATTTTTGTCTTAGCTTTAACCAACCTATCATAGTTATTCAAGAAATACTTTTCACCCCATGCTCTAGCTCTCTCCACAGCATCAACAGAGGAAGAATAATGACTACTAGCATTTCGCAGTAAGTAGTCGTCGTCCATATTCACTCCAAGATCCATATCCAAGTAGTTGATATAAGCTCCCCTTGGCGAGCTTGAAACAAAAGGCGCCATTTTATTGTAAAATCCTCTTAACCACTCTATGTACTCGTTGCTCTTGGCATCGTCCTCTTCATTCCACTGTACATAATATTGAACCGCGAAAAGGTTACCCTTACGATGAGGGAAAGCAATAGCTTGATCACTAATCTTGTCCATGGCTCCGCCATAAGGATCGAAGATAAGGTATCCCATCGGGTTTTTCTCGAGTTCAACAAGAAATGTTAGCATCCCATCCATTGAAACTGGCTTCTTCACATAGTCCGTTTTGCATTTGAAGAAACCTTTTGCGTCCATATTGTAACGTTCTTTCAGACGGGAGATATCACCAGAGGAGTTTCCGCTAAAGTCAGCTGATTCGGAGAAGTAAAGTGCTGACTCTACCCAAGTCATTTCCTTGCACTCATCATTCTTAACGCCTAGCTCCGGAAGTTTCTCATTTGATATGGAAAGAGCTTCAGCTTTTGGACCCAAATAAAGCGCGTTGAATTGGGCAAGTATTTCAATAGGAGTACTATTACCATATTTCATATCCGCCGGTAGACCTGCAGGTCCCAGGAGTGCTCCTAGAGTAAAATCATCGACCAAATTTGGAGAAACTATTTGCCATTTCTCAAGTATTTGAGCCACGTATTGTTTGGATCCAGGCCTATAGATCATACAAGTTGTTACGATTTTAGGCACTTTGAGTAATCGAATTTTCCAGGCATAAACAATTCCCCAATTTCCACCGCCGCCACCTCTGATTGCCCAAAACACGTCTTCTCCCATAGCTTTTCGGTCTAATAACCGTCCCTCAGCATCAATAAGAAGAGCGTCAACGACATTATCAGCAGCAAGTCCGAATTTTCTAGATAGAAGTCCAAATCCGCCACCAGAAATATGACCTCCAGATCCTACCGTTGGTCCCGAACCTGCTGAAAATGCATGAACGTCACTTACCTTGGCAATGGCGTAATAAATTTGGCCAATTGTTGCGCCGCCCTGGGCCCAAGCAGTTTCGGAATCCAAATCTACTGAAACGTCGTCTAATTTCATCAAGTCAACGATCACGAACGGGGAACCGTCAAAGGAAACGCAAGATGTTCCCTCGTAACTGTGTCCGCCGCACCTTACTCTGATTTCATAAGATGCTTTTCTGCAACAAAAAATGGTGCTCACGAGCTCCTCCCTGCTGCTTGGTAGGATAATGAACGTTGGTTTCGGCATGTAAGATGCAGCAAATCGAAGATTTTGAATGGAGAAGTCGAGCAAGTTAAAGTAATTACTATTTGGATCATTCCTTGTGGGGTAAATAGAGAAGTTATGGATATTGTGGTTGATTAAACAGGTTGAAAGACTTGTAGCTCCTCCTTCTGCTCCACTAGTAGCAGTAGCAGAGAGGGAAGTAAGTGAAAAGCTGATCAGAATTATGAGTGGAAACATGTTGTATGTATTTCTTCCAACTAATTGCTTCACCTCTCCGAAAATACATGTATAGCAGATATGAGCAGTTTGAGAACAAAAAGATAATAATATTATAAAGTACCGGGGGGCTAAGCGGCTTCACGTGCTTCAGGGGTGCGTAAAATTTATTCCCATCCAATATTTATAGTAATTTATTTGGATGGTTCTTATGTATTGTACCTTACTATTGTTTTAAATATAATATTTTTTCCGTTTTAATTTAGATGAGTTAGTTTGATTCGGTATAGTGTTTAAGAAAAAGAAAGACTTTTGAAACTTGTAGATTTAAAAGCTTAAGGGGGTAAAAGCTTTATGGGCCATGACATTTCTGTAGTTATAAAAGCTTCGCACTAAGGGTAAAATGGGTAAAATGAAGAATTAAACTTGAATTATTTTCAATTGTAGAAATGTGTCATTCTTTTTTGAACGGACTAATAAGGAAAGTGTGTCATCTAAATTAATACAGAGGGAGTATTTATTTTGATGGTTATTTTAATTTTATTGTATCATATCGTTAAGTTCATTTTTCACGTAACGATAAAAGATATGTAATGACAGATTTGCTATGATCGCGTCGTTGCCTTTTTTTCATCTTACCCTTACTATAATTTCTATTTTATTTTTACACTCCCTTTTTAATAATTACTCTACTTCATATTCTATTTTTACTTTGTAATATTTTATGTCTATTTTCAAATTGTTGGTGTATGATAATATAAAATGACGAAAAATGATACAATATATCTAAATATTTTATAGACTAAAATAATACAGTAAAATACAATACAACAATATATTAAGAATCTATATGAAACAACCCTCCAAAACAAATATTGAATCAATGAATACTTGGCATATGTATTGACATATACTCCTATCGTTAAACCATAGTTAAACTAATAAATATTCTCACCTTAGTTTAGGAGTTTGCAATAATTTGACGCGTGTAGTTAAATTTTTACCCACGCGGTACATAGATGTCCCTGTCCTGCCTTGATTAAAGATTCCCCTTAGTCACCCTTTTTTGACTATTTAATTTGTCTCTTTCTTTGTCTGATTGCTCTAAAAAGATTGATTTTTTTATTTTCTTACCTACCTCCCTATTATTTATACTATTTCTTCATCCTTTTTAATATATAATATAATATAGTTTGATTTAGTACAGTGGTTAAAACTAAAATAATTTTTTGAGCCGTAGAAACAGTTTCTTGCAGAAACAGAGTAAGACAACGTACAATAGATATTTATGATTCGGCCATTTTCCTAACCCCGCGCTAGCAGGAGCTTAGTGCAACGGGCTACCTCTTTATTTGTTTATTTATTTATTTATTTATTTATTTATTTATTATTATTATTATTATTATTATTATTATTATTATTATTATTATTATTATCATCTTAAACGTGTGATAATATTTATGTGCATATAAGTAAAACCTTGTCATAAGTATAAACAAGAAGTTCAAATAACATTATTCTAAAATTTAGAGATAATTGTGAAGAAAAATGGCTTTTGCCCAAACGTAAAAGAGTTTGTTTTGTTTAAAAAATATTTTGTGATAATCAAACATTAGCAAAAATGACTTATTATATTCTGAAAGGTATTTTCCAAATTAAATATAGTTTTTATCATACCAAACACACCTGCATCTGTTCTAACTTTTGCTGGGAAAGAATATCAAGTTAGGTATATATGTCACTGCTCAATTAATTACTAGATGTTAAACAGAAGATGCGACTAGCTTAAAAAATGAATACTATTATCTTTTCATGGTTGCTAAAAGCAATCATATAAGAAAATTAGAAAAATGAGAAGCAACAGGAGTGAATAATTATTAGTTGAGCTGTATTTGTCTAGAGTAATTACTATATAACTCAGCCTCTTACCGTACGTGTAAGCAAATTCTAAATTTATTCTTGACCATTAATACTCCCCCGTCTCAAATTATCTGTGGTAATTTCTAAAAATACTTGTATCAAATTATTTATTATTTTAGAATAAAGATAAATTAATTACTTTTTTTCATTTCACCCTTAATAATAATTATTCTTGAAGACAGAGATAACACATAAATTAAAAAAATAATAAATGAAGAGAAATTATATCTTAAAACATAAATAAATATTACTTCTGTTTCCATGTGAATGAATACGAGCATTCAATCTAAAACCTTAATATTGTAAATAAAGTGACCAAGTAATCTATATCTATCTATATTATTATAAAAGCACGAATATTATACACTAAATGTCGAACGACAAAAATATCCCTGAAATATTAATCGACTTTTATACCCTTTACAAATTAAATTATTGCTTTGTAACTATAATTTCGTGTGGGATAGTAATGTCATATTTTAAGACTGTCTAATTTTACGTCTATAAAACAAATTCTATATCCACAAGGTTATTAGATTTACGAGTCCTTCGAGTATGAACAACAATGAAATTGATCAAGAGGTTGAATCCTTCCGTGAAACTACCACTGAATGTTTAAAGAATATCTGGCATGTTGCTCCACAAACGCACACGCAAGTATACGTGATCGACAAGTAATATAGGATTGTAAGTCCAGATATCGTATCCACAGGGACTTGTGATTAACTATAACCTAAATTAGACCCAAACAATTAATCTATTCAAGCGAATTCTAAAGTACGAATATTTAACTAAAGCTAATCAAGAGTAACAAATTAAGAGATTAAAGAAAACAACGATAAGCTTAAAGACGAATTCAATGTGAGTGAATATTCTAGAGCTATGGGTTGGCTAACAATCCCGTTGAGTTTTCTACCTAAATTGTCTAATTAATTTATCTAGTTTATTGATTGACGGGGTTAATATTGCTCGTAGCCTTCTCCCTAAGTACAACTCGCCTATTCAAGCTAACCTAACGCCTATATTCCTATGGAATTAGGATTAACAAGAACGCATTTATAATTCACGTATAATAACCAAGCAAGGCGATTAGGTATATTCCTATCCTAACTGCAAATCCGCTCCCCCTAAGAGTTAAGATCTTGCTCTACTCAATCTTATATGCACTCTAGAATTTCCTCTCCCGAGTTCAATCCTAGATTCGTAGATAGTATTCAATTGGTGATCAAGCAATCAAATAATTAAGCGCAAGATTGAATAAATAAACCAATATGATAAAATAATAAGAACAATTCAAGCTTCAAACTACAACGTTCATGTAGCACCCAAAACTCTAGAACAAAGAAACTATGAAATTAAAGGAAGAGAAGAGAAGAAAAACTAGTTAGAAGCCTCCAAGCGCGGTGTGTGTTCATCCACGTGAATTCCCCTTCAAAGTATGTTAGATCTCTCTAAAGTGGCGTCCTCCCTCAAAATATATGTTTAGTCTTGCTTTTATACGTGTTGGGTAGGTCTAGGGTCGAAATAACCTTGTCCCGGGCAAAGTTGGACAAAATTCCACAGGTAGGGCTGGGCGCCACCTGTGGCGCCCAAATTCGCAAGTTCTCCGATTTCGTTCGTTTTGGCTCTAATTTTGCATGTTTCGCCCCCAATTGCTCCCGGATCATTCCTACACATAAAAACGCATCAAATTAATATAAATCAATACATTTCACATCCTAAATCCACGAAACAAAAGTAAGATATGAGGTGATATACATGCGAATATATATACTTTAAGCACAACATCAACACCCCACACTTAGACTTTTGCTCGTCCTCGAGCAATGGGACTATCAAATAAACCCCCAGCTACGTACAGTCTCAATTATGGAGGACCACTTTAACTTTTAACCACACACTATACCCTTTACTCTGACCAATACCGGCACACAAGCATGAACACTCAAAATTTCACATTCTTCCCGTTTAAGCATGCCCAAGTATAACATTTCAATTCAATCAATTCCAACAACCTATTCCTCACCACCCAACCTCAAAACCGACCTGTAACCACTAAGCACCCTCAACTCATGCACACCCAACAAGAAAGTTTAGAACATAACCAATCATTCATGAGATCATGTGCCTTCACCACAAACAAAAGAGTGAAAATATACTAGTCCACACATTCAAATGTGCTTTTGAATATAAATTAAGGACATCACACACTTTGAACAAAATTCGCTCACTCTCACAAAGAATTCATATGCATCCCGTGGTCGTATCATAAGCTTGCCCGTAGTGTATATCTCTACTAATTTAAGCTAGCCAAGTCTAGGATCAATTAGGACTTTAAGGTTGTAATGTATGCCAAGGGACGGGTATGATACATTTAGAAATAGTGACTAACCCTCCTAAGCACATTAATACACTAGATTCACAATTCAAGCACATATTCTTCTCAACCAATTAACTTGCCACAAACCATATGCACATAGCCCTTACGTTCATTCAAGCACTTCTATACTCCCACTAGCACAAATTATTAAGAATTGGAGGTATTTTCTACATACTTTCACTATCATTTTTTTTCTTTTCTTTCAATTTTTCTTTTCCTTTCTCTTTTTTTTTTTCACACACTCCTTACATTAAGGTTCATTGGCTAGTGTCTTTTGATTTCAACTTTAGTGCACCAACGGGCCCTTCCATGGTTCCACTCAAAAGCTACTCCTCAATCTCTAACCTTACTTCTTTTAGCGACTAAGTGCCTTAGGAGGTAAAGGTTCAATCAATATCCAATTAAGAACAAAATAGGAGTATGGCTTGTAATGTGGGTGCCAGAGAAAAGGTCTATAGGCTCAAAGGGGCTAGCAATGGAAAATTTTATTTTTATGTTACAATAACATCCATGACCAAGCAATAAAATGCCTACGTCATCTCCTAGATTAGCACAACTTATAATTTTGCTTCAATTAACACACGGGGCAAGTTCTAGACCACACAGGATAGCACAGAAAACCACAAATCCTCACACACACGTTGCACATGAATCAATCAAGACGGTTCTGTTCAACTCTCAAGTCAAGCAAGCACACATAATTGAGAAATTTAAGCAATATTGCACTATGTGGTATACAAGTCAAACAACTGAGAAAAGGCGTCACAAAATAGGTTAGTTACTTTACTTAGGCTTCACAATTCAAATCAAATACACGGAAAAACAGAATGTATGTCATAGCCTAATGTG